TATATTTTAATATTCTCTAGAAATTTTCAATCATTCAAGTTAGGTCGCCATTGCAGGATGAAATCTCCCTTTCTAATATGATTCTCTTTCTCAAACATTGAAGGTATATATATTGCCGCCACTGTTGTTTATAGATTTTCTTCTAATGATTAGGTGACTTGTATAAATGAAATGTTGTTGACATGCTACTTTCATGAGCACTAAATAAATGAATTATAAAAGATAATTGAGATACCCACGATTCTTTTGGTGATGCAATCAAAGAGGTTCCTCTGTTGTGATTCAGAATATTGATTAAGGAAATTAATCTTATAGCTAGTCTACTGACATATATGAGAATTTTTCTGTAAGTGAAGCTTGTAATACCATGCTTTTATTAGTACTGCCTGCTTAATTTAATTAAAACAATGTTGATTAAAGAACTCGTGTGAAGGTGTAATGATAGAGAGCAATCCAAGACATGTTTAGAGAGATTCTTGCAGAAGAGGACAGGGTCTTGAGTAAGATTTGAAGACCAGGTTTCGCAACCCAAAATGCTCTGAATAAAATTACCCAGAAGATTGCAGGTTTTGTCAAAAGAATGTACTAAACTTGTCTCAGACAAAACACTGCTTAAAGACTCCATCCATCCCATTGCTTCTTAAATAAATATGTTACATATCCTAATTAAATTATCATGTCTAATAATAGACACTAATTGACAAATCCATTTAGATTAATTAAGCTCACACAACGATGTCTCTAAATTTCAACTTTTCAACCATGTCGGGACTATGAAAATTTGACAACATTCACAGGTAAAAAAATTTCATTTTTATTTCTAGATCTCTGTATATCCATGTTCAATAATTTCAAGGACTATATACATATATATATATATATATATGTATATTGCCGACGCAGACATGTAATTATGGAAGACAGTACAGATGTACTGTTAGAAGTTTTTGTATGATATAAGAGATTGAAGAGTGTGGAGAAAGAAAAGTAAATATAAATGCAATGATATGATAATGTCCTTCAAAACAACAAAAGAAGAAGAAGCAGCCAGCTAGGTCTGGATATATAGTCCCCACCACCATGGAAGAGAAGCCAAAAACCTTCTGCACTTTAATGTTTGATATGAACGGTTTGAATTAAAAAGGCAAGAATGTTTTAATTAAAGCCAATAATATCTAGCTAGCTATGGGTACCTATATATGTAGATGCAAAACTTAAATTGGCTTTCCCCCACACGTATTCATTATTCAACATTTGTATATAATGTGAACTTTTCGAATTCTATATATATCCAACTTGCTTGTGTATTTATGTATATATAGAAAAGTCAGAAGCTTATTAGGACCCTAAATAATTAATTATTAATAAAAGAGCATGTAGTCCCCTACATGAGTCATGTTTGAACAAGAAAAATAGTCCATGCCTCATTAATTATATCTACCTATCTTCTCCAACACCTCACATGGCTTACACGTACTGACACTATTCTTACTCATGTTTACTCCTTCTGAATCATTTGCCTATTTTTCAAACCTTAGCTTCTTCTTCCTCCCCTTCTCGTTTTGTTCTCTTTCAGTTTTAATATTATTTATTTATTTAATATTGATATAGCAGATTTATTGCAAGAGTCAAAGATTACCTTCGGTTATTATCCCAAGAACACTGATGTGTGCAGATATTCTTTTTCAGAGAAAAACAAAACCAAACGATAACGTTATGTTCTCTCCTTGTTTTGCTTCTTCTTGTGGGGTTATAAGCTGACATTAACCTTATTTTCCTATATCGAACTACGTAGGTAGTACTTGAGCACACTGATCTTTTATATAGTACTTGATCACACTGATCTTTTGTCATGAAAATCTATCAACTTTGCTTCATTAAAAGGAAAAGTGGATATTTTCCTTGGAAAAATTGTAAGAAACTAAACTACGCATCATAATAACACCATGCACCTCATGTAAAACAACCCCATTTGATAACTTTGGTTGTTGAAGAGCTTAAGTGATAGGATAGATTAGGATAGAACATGTATTACTCTGACGTAAGCCCTAAATTGTTGGTGTTCGAGCTCGTTCTTTATTCCAAAATAGTGATATAGACATTATATGAACTGATAAATCAATACGTATTCTTACTTCAATAACGTATACAGCAATCTCATATATATATATATATATATATAAATGCGTCATGGTTTTCTCACAGCTTGGGTTGCTTTAGGATTGCATTGGACTTTGAAGCATTCAAGAAAAGTTGCGCCCATCTGGTTTATATATGTATATGCATATGCATCACAAACTGAATTCACATCAACCTTTCACAACAAGAAGTACAAATACCAAGGTACGTCGTAATTGTTTAAAGCTTGTTGCTTGTCTTTCTCTCTTTTTCTCGCAGTTTCTCGGTAACCAAACAGGGAACTCAAGTGATGCAGCTTCTGTGACGCGGATAAGATGGTGCCGTGTCCCCGTCCAATTTTCCACCCAAAAGAATCTTATTCACTCCCACGCTTTGGTTCTAAACCTTCTTGTCTCTTTTTAATTTGCTTTTTTTATGCAGATAAGACTCCTTTAAGATACTTTTATATATGATTACCCTTAAGTTAAATAGTCTTAAACAATATCGAATAAGAACTTGTAAAAGCTTCGAAGTTTGAAACTCGGTAAATAAATATTTTTTTCAGTTGAATATTACTATAACATGTTGTCATCGATCCTTTAACAACTTGCATGTTCCAGATGTGTCATATTTTTGTGACAAAAGATTCTAAAATTTCATTTTCTTAAAAAAATTACTTATCACATTTTTATGACTAATTTATTCCTTTTGGACCAATAATTACTCTCTTTTCTCTCACTCATGTTTAATTTATAGCACTTTCTGGATTATGAAATATGTATCCATGTATATGCATACATTTTTTGAAGTTTTCAAAAGACAAACAAAAATAATATTAATTTCTTCAAAATATAAATATAAACCATGCAGTTAAAAATTATACTTTAATAATATTTGTTTGTTCTTAAAATGAACTTAATTTCTTTTAAAATTTAAATATAGATATTACTTTTTATATATCATATTAATAGAAAATATAACTTTTTTATTAAAAAAATCTAATACTATCCTCTTTTTTTACCTGAAACTATGCGTTAATTTTCACAGAATCACAGTAAGAAATATCAGAATATCACATATTTTCACTGAAGTGACGGATGAACTTTCAGCTGGGAAAAAAATAATGTAACAGACATTATTTATATTAAGAAAAGTTCGGCCGGAAAATTAAAAATAATATAATTAGTGTTGGTGAAGAAAATTAAGAGACCCAAACGTTAAATTGAATCCTTGACCCCGGCGACATCGCCGAACAAATCCGTCCAATCTCATTGCGCTTCTCCTCTCTCCACGTGGCACCTGCACGGACCCCAACACAAGTGCCGGTGCCAATCAGTACACGCCAATTATTTTGCAGATTTGAAAAATTAAATTAAATTTAAATCCCGGCATTATCTTAATTTAGTTTGCCCAGTTATTTACTAATCATCCATTCAATCATATAGCTTTAGTTTTTGTCACGCTCCTTTCCCTTACCCTATCCTATTTATGTCAATTTTGGCTTAATTTTGACTTGCCTTGCACAAGTTAGTTGGGAAACGCCTGCTTCCTTCTCTCTCTGGTTTTACTACTAGTACTCTCTCTATCTGTGGGGTTGTTGCAGAAGCTGTCCAGATAGGGACCTTTGCTTATTTTACCTCCTTCCCTTATCTCCCTTCTTCATCATCATCTTCTTTGAGAGATGGGGAATTGTCAGGCTGTGGATGCAGCTGCTCTGGTGATTCAGCATCCGTGTGGGAGGATAGAGAGGTTGTATTGGTCTGTGACTGCGAGTGAGATCATGAAGATGAACCCTGGTCATTATGTCTCTTTGATTATTCCATTGCCTCTTTCTGAGGATGAACAACAACACAGCCAAGAACACAAGACTGTTCGTTTCACTCGTGTCAAGCTGCTTCGCCCTAATGACACTCTCAATCTCGGCCATGCTTATAGGCTCATCACCACTCAAGGTGTGTGTGTGGAAGTGAAACTTCTGTTCCTCTGAGCTTCTTTTTCTTTTCATGGTCTGATTTCTGATGATAATTTGCGCTTCTGGTTGCAGAGGTTATGAAGGTCTTGAAGGCAAAGAAGCTTGCCAAGACGAAGAAGTCTCAGGCAGAGTCGGTGGAGAAGAGTACTGTGCAGGAGAAGCAGCGTTCTGTGAGTGAGGCAGAAGGAGAGAAGCAGGACGCTGGAAACACACGCGAGGTATCCATCAGAATAGTACTTTTTGATACACTGCTGTTCAATATATAATTATAATTATATCCTGTGTTTCCTTAATCCCATCTGAGTCTGACCATGGCTTTGATCTCTCACCTTACTACTGCATCACTGCTTATTCTATTCCTCTCTGGTAGTTTTATCTTGTCTCATAGCACATCTGGCACAATCCATTCCTTAAAGTACAGCTATTTGTATGTAACAGAGAGAATACCAGAGTGGTCGCTACCAAATAGAATATAATTTTATGCTTTGATCCGTTTTCTAGTAGAAACCAATTTCTGATGCAGCTTTTTGTTTTTTAAATCTTCATCTTCAATAGTGAGTAAATTCTTCTTCATAATGATTTGCAGGCAATGAGAGCAGAGAGGCACAGGCAAAGAGGGGCAGTAATAAATTCTGCTTCTTTTAGGTCAAAATCATGGCGTCCTTCCTTGCAGAGCATCTCAGAGTCTGCAAGTTGAACGGTGCCTACTAAGTTGTGTGGCGAGCACAGTGGTTCACACCATTATTGGACTGCCTCTTTCACGTGTGAGAAGTTTCACCTAGCTCAAATCCTGATAGAGGGTAAAGAAAATAGAACAGAGGTTTGAAACAAGATGGTGCAGTGGCTCAATGTTTGTATAGCATCACCAAGATGGGAAAAAAAAAAAGAGCAATGAAAATTGAAAAAAAAATAGTGAAACTGAGTTTTGTGATTGATATAGTTACAGAATCCAAATCTTCCTTTTACTTAGCAAGATACGCAGTTTACTTGGTTCTCTTACATACAACTACAGAAAAAGCTTGTGAAAAAAAAATAATTATGATAATAATACTAATAATAAGGAAAAGAAATATAAAGTGGAAGTCACTATAATTTTGAGTTCCAAACTTGCCAGTCATCGTCAACATAATTTTGAGCCCACAAAAGAGATGTTCTTGCAGCCAGAGGTGCTCCGGGCAATTTCTTCTTCTTTAAAGCAATTAACATATCTGTGAAGGGCTCCACCAATAATGTCCCAGGGCCTCCATACTCCTTGTGCATGAATTCACTGAATATCTGTTTTTCCAGCCAAGGCTAGTTAGCATGACAACTAATAGCTCAACACGGAATTCAAAATAGTACCATTCTACTTTTTAGCTCCAAGCATCAAACTAGAGCCCACATACAAACATTGCCAGTTTAGAAATACTCCCTCCGATTGATAGATGACGTCTGGAAATTTGCGTAGATTCTAGTCCTTTTGCCTAGGAGGCGTTTCAATTATTGTACCGTTTTAAACTTTTAGGCCAGGCCAGACCTCCTGATAGAAAAGATTTGCTCATTGTAGAAGGAAATAAGTAACTCTAGTCGAGACTAGGCCGCTGAAATTAGTGTAGTTTTTCCGTAATTGAAAGTCTTGTGAACCACAAAATCCTCATAATGGGATGGCCAACATTCTATTTTTAATTGTTGGAGGCAAAATTAAAGTCTGAGAGAGAATGATTCCTTCAATATACCATTATAGCAACAAAATGAAGACACAAACTGACATATCACCATTAGTGCATCAGGAGACTTTTAAGCAATGTTGCTATTAACCAACTCAGCCTCCGATATGATTGTACCAGTAAAATCCAACGCTTGCTCATAGATGACAAATTAAAAGTCAATTCAAATTAATTAGACGTTGATATTCTATGTTTTTGAATTCTAGGACCTGAAGCTCATTGTGATTGAGATAGCAAATATTAGGTATTAGCCGCGTATCTCCAACATCTTCCATGCTCCACTTCAAGCAAGATTAATAGCTGTGAAATAGCTAAGAACCAGGGGTCCAATATAGTAAGGAGTAGTCACCAAGCACGTCCATTTAAAAAATAAAAATAAAATCAGCATGCAAATTTCACTTTTCTGAAGCTCATAATAAATTTTACCATTGTTACAGTATCTCTCTACCAGGAGTGTTGAAATAATACATCACAGCACATACAGGTGCATAAACAAAGAAAGCCACACTTTATTCAATAGCGTTTTAAATGATCAATAATGTCCAGCGCCAATTTTTCTTCATCTCACCCTTCCAGATATGGCTGGATCTCACATGAATGGACCCATTAAAGGGAATTTCTACCTATTGAGGTCTAAATTAGTAGTCCGCCCAGGCCCCAGACAATCAATGTCAAATAAGGGGAAAACGGGAACGATTTAAGAGTGAAATGATTTCTTTCTTTTGAAATTGTCTCATCTTGTGGAATGGTGAATGCAGCCATAAATAGGCAGACCTAAGTTAGGTTTCCCAAAAATTTGTCATATATAAACCAGTGAACAATGGACCACATACATGTCAAATCCTGAATAAATTCTTATTAACTCTGAAATGCAAAAGAAAAGGTCCATATAAAATGAAATCACTTCCAATTGGGACTATATTGTGACTCATCACTATTCAGTAGAATCTGTGATATTCTTATTGATGTTGCAGGAAACAAATGTTGGCCGCAAGCATTAGTGAACGAGCTCCCCTAAATGCAAGAATCACAGCAATGAATTATGATTGGGAATGTTCTTTACGTTCAGGTGTGTTAATCAATGAGGGTGTTAACATTACATTTAAATCAGGCTTCAGACTCGTTGTAAGAATATCTGCAGCAGCAAAGGTGAAATTCTTTCATTCTTTATCCTTCCAAAGAAAAAAAGAAGAAAAAGAACTATTTTCCTTTTCGCTTCTCTTTAACAGCAGATGATTTTTTCCAAGGCTAGTATACGAGTAACCAAAGCTGTCTTTGGATGTTATAACTCAGATATAGATGAAATACATATTGCTGGAAGGATAAAACCCGTAATATTGCATTTCAGTGCTGCTTCAAAAGAGATGTTGAAGATCACAGGGAAACTTGATCAATCAATATAAGAGATCAATTATTTTCCAATCAAGATGAAAATCCACTCAATTCACAAATAATTCTTTAAGATAAACCGTAGGTTAATGCTGTGAACATCTGACGTAGAGTTCTTTTCTTTTTTCGTGTTAACAACACCAGCATTGAAACTAAAATAGGGAAATATGAGGAAGAACATATTAGGAAGTATGCATATCTTAAATTATTTCCGAGACAAGTCATCAATATAAGCAAAGTGAAAAGAAAGTCTAAATATGTAATATGACGTTTAATGTTTAACTAAATGAACTTTATCTCTCATTTTCCATTTGTCAATGAAAACGATACGGAGTGATCATCATGCAATTAATTTCCCTATTTTATATCCAAACATCAATTTCATGGGCAGGACAACAACCGTAACATGAATTAAAAAAATTAAAAAGACGGGGAATAAAATCAATACTAAAGATTGAAGATGAAAAATTACTTGCATTCCAGGTGAACTTAAAAAATGAATTCTTTCATAACCCCTACTATCAATATCAAATATAACAGAAGTTAAAACATCCTTAGATAAAAAGGTGATAGGTAATTTGGGAAGACTTGACACTTTTATTCTCTTCAGGAGAACACCAGGTCCAAGATTGTAATAATTAGGCGAATAGATTAAAAATTCGTATTAGACTAATCAATTCAACATTAAAGGCCAACAAAGAAAAAAAGTTAAAAACCAACTTAAACGATCAAATTTGGATAAAATCCAACCGGGTTTGGCACGAAATCAATTAAAAATTAGCATTGATAAAATCGATTAAAAATTCGTATTAGACTAATCAATTCAACATTAAAAACCCACTTAAACGATCAAATTTTCATAAAAATCCAACTGGGTTTGGCGCAAAATCGGTGTGAAAAATCAAAATAATCATTTTTCTTTGGGCAACATAAAATTACAAGTGACATAAACTTTCACCGTTTGACACAACAGAAATGTTTATCCTTGTTCACGCATTTTCTCGAGCATGTAACGCTCAAAGCACAAACGACACACCTTCAATCACCGACTTCATAACTAATGCATCAACCGGGTGAACCATAACCATTTTTCGACGTTATCCCAACACGAGAAATAGAATACTAGAACAATACATTGATTTCTTATATGACGCACGGTATCTCAACAACATACATTCGTATTATTTCGAAAGAAAACGGCATTCACCTGAGCACAAACATCGACGACTGCATGAAGATCATCGCCGAACTCGTCTTTGTCCTCAGATAGCCTCTCAAACAGCTCAGCTCTGAACTTCTGCGTTTCCTGCATTAGCCCATAGAATGAAATAAAAACACAAGCTTTCAACTCGAAAATTTCACACATAACAGTCGTCAGAATTCACACTTACAGATTCCGCGAATTCGGGTATTGGGTCGGGGTAAATGTGATTCTGGGTCGGGGAAGCACTGAGGATACAAGTGAAGGTATTCTTTGCGGAGACAAACTTCAGGCAGAGAGAAGGAGACAGAGGTAGTGGCGGGCAGAGGCATAGTGTAAGAGGATTTGAGTTTGAGAAACGAATTTTCGCGGGAGAGAGAGTCGTTGCTGATGGGTGGGACACCGGAGAAAAAGTGCTGAGTACCATTGGATTGGATCTTCCTTTCTTTCTCGGTTGACGGTCGAGTTCAATTAATTTTATCTTTTTTATAAATTGAAGAAGCCGCAGTTCATATACATTATACTAACTTAGGCTTTAATTATAACATCTTATTTGCAGTATACTATAATTTGATTGATCTCAATTCTCAACGATTATATTTATGAGATGAAACTACGCAAGTCTAAATTAAAAAGGTAGTACGTTGTTCTAATTTTTCATCTCGTAACGAATTACAGCCACCATAACCCCCAATTAAATCAATAATCTGGTTAAGTTTACAATTATGAAGGCATTAAAGAATATCAAATTATAAATTTAGCTGGCAAATAAAAATTTAAGTTATGCTATGGTTTTTTTTAATAATATATTATATCTAAATATATAATATAGATTCCGGGAGTGTTTGGTAACTCCAGAAAAATATTTTTATGCAAGTTCAGATAAAACTTCTTACATACTTACTTTATATATTATAAAATCAGTTTTAAAATTATATTTTGTTTTTCACTCAAACACTCTCTAAATTTTTCACAGGAGTAGATATAATATCACGTTATAAGGAAAATATAAAGCATCGTTGATCTTTATCTCTCTTTATCATAGGCACTCACTTCAACAAGTACCTCCCTATTTGTTCCATATGAGAACATACAAGACTTGGCTAGCACAAAGACTATTAAAATATTTCTTTTTTCTTTTTTTTTATAAAAAAAAATTCTTTTGACCGTCAGATTGTATAGTATGTTCAATATTTTGTTCAAGTTCTTAATTCAGTCTTTATACTTGAAATTGTGGAAAGGGTTTTCATGTTTTGATTTTGTTTTTAAAGTTCTTGATGACAAGATGTATTAGAAGTTATAACACCATTAAATAGGTTGAGGTCTCCTGGAAGCCGATTCTCATGTGATTGGACTCAAATTGATGATTGACCCAAAAAAAGAAAAAACAGAACTCAAATTGATGTCCATTTTTTATTCTAGGCCTCAGCCTTTTGACTCATAACTAACAGAATGAACTAGAAGATCTTGCTGAAGGCCAGATATTGCCAACTGCATGCATCTTCATCCCAACTTGGGCCCTTAAATGGCTTCCTTGAAATTTTCCAAACAAAAAAGAAGTGCAAATCCATTTGAGAAAATGTTGAAATGGAATAGCAAGAAAACGAAACTACGGGGCCGAAAAGCAATATTAAATATTAATCTAGATTTTTACGGCCCATCTTCAATGCTTTTCAAGAAAAATATTTTCAACCCTTAATGGGCTGAATCTAAAAAAAAAGAAAAGAAGGGAATTATCGAAAGTGGGCCTCAATTTTCTCATTACTAACTCAAACAAAATAAACAAAAAAAAAAAAATGCTTCAGTTCATATACACTCATGTTCTGTATTTCTAGCATTGGTGTGAACGAAATCTTCTTCCTCTGCATCTCCTCTCTAACAAAGAAAAAAAAACAGGGACATGAAGAAGCACTCTGCTCCTAGGAATTTTAAAAGAAAAGGGGAAACTTTGGCATCATTTGAAAGATTAGAACAAAATCTCATTATCACACAAAGGAACCCAGAAAAGGGAATGTTTTATGTTACTGTTCACCTTAACAGAATAGAATGTGATTCTCCCTTCTTTTTTTTTTTTTACATATATTATGAAATGATGGGCCAAATTTCATTATATGTGTAACCAAAAAATGGACACACACACACACATACATAAAGCACGTTAAAGATAGAAAGAACCACCTTTTATGTAACAGTACAAGTTTGTAAAGTTGCAAATCTGGTGTGCGTGTGTATTATAAAGTTATTTAAACAGTGTGCCTTTTTAAAAAACAATTTGGCTAAGTAGTGCTTTAGATATGTTCTTCATACATCAATCTTTTTCTAATGAAATGATTCTTTTTTCCCATTTGAGAAGCAAAGTAGGGATTGGTGGCCACATTGCAAGTGAATAAAGATATTTTGTGAATGCCATTGAGTAGCCAGCCTTAGCTTCATTATTTTTATACTAATTTATGAATCTTAGTTAGCAGTCCGAATAGTAAAATATGAACAGGATGAAACCTAACAAGTCCTCAAGCTTTCATCATCATTCATGATCCCCTTTAACCCATAAAAAAATTTAGAGTCTTCATCTTCAAGCTCCTTCACAATCAATTGCTCTGTGTTTCTTTGGTGGGGATGGATATGGGTTCTTTAGAGGGAAAATGATGTGGAATGCACTATGACGAACTTCTTCTTTTTGTTTATTTGTTCCTAATTTATTCTTAAATTTACATCTTGTCATGTGCCTGTAAAATAGCTCAGAAAAGGGGAGGAAAATAAGCACTGATTTGATGTTATTCATATTCCAATCACTTATTGGAGCAATGTACAGAAAATTAAAGAGCATGTGACAGAGAGAGAAGAAAGTGAAGAGAATTTACAAGTTATCTTTACACATCATGAGAAAGATTAAAAGAAAGAGATAAGCAAGGGAAGGCAAACCTCGTTCACTATTATTATGAGTCTTTTGTAACCCATTTCTTTGTACTTGCCCAATTCGGCTTTGTAAATTTTCTTTTGTTCCTTCATAATTCAATTGTAGTACAAGCTTTTGGCTCATCTTTTTAATTGTTGGGCCTTCACACACGCAAGCGCCACTAATGAAAACCTTTTAGTGATACCTTTTCTTTTTTCTTTTTTCCTCAGGGCTCTGTTTCACTGCAACAAAGTTCAAACCTCACTCATTAATTACTTCTCCCCTTTCTATGTTCTGTCGTGAAAATAGTTTTAGTCTTGTAGCTAATAAATATATTACAGACATGTCACACTTCCTTCATATAAACATTTTATTGGGTTCCTTTTTGTTTGAAGAGGACCAGAGCAGGCATGTTTATCAGTGATTCAGTTCCAGCTTAAAACATAAGCAAATACATCTATGTAACACAACTCAACCAAACTACGCACTCACACACAAAGAGAGAGAGAGAGAGAGAGAGAGAGAGAGAGTGAAAGCTGAAGGATGAAAATGGTGAGGGAAGAGGTAGATAGATTGGCTATATAGAGGCTTGATGATTAAGCAGAAGACTCTTTTGTCTCCACTCTGTCACTAAGGAGGTCCATTGCAAGCACTATCTCAAAGCATTGATAAAAAGAAACACACACTATAACATGTCTACGCTCCTCCCTTCTTTCTGCTTCTTTTTATGGCATCCAATGACCCAAAATGCATGTCAGCTGGAAAAACCCTAAGGGGGGGGGGGGGAACTAAAATTTTCAATTCAAAATCAGATTTCCTTCATTGTCTGGAAAATACACAGCATTAGCTCCCTTTGTTTGTTACTTACAAATACTTCTTCAAAATGACCATAAAAGGACCTGAATTTAACTGCAGAATAAGATATCTCAAAATGATCATGTGTTTCAGACTTGTGATCATGATTTGATTATTATTGTGATTGTTGTTATTGTTATTATCATTGAGGCACCTAATCTTCTTTCTTACTTTTCTTTCTATTAAAATATAGATTGATGTAGAATGGGGACAATGAGTGGATCAAGGACTTGAGAGAGAAGTAGTGTGTCTTGTATTCAGCATAAAATCTGATAAACCCACATCTGAGAATTGAAGCATCATTCTAACTTTTGAACCTTTATCCCATCAAGGGGCCTATATTTTGCAGGAACCCCACAAAAGCATATGGCAAAATTTTCACAAGGAAAAAGCTAAATCTAAATCTAAATGGTGAATTTTCAGGCTCCTCAATGCTTGTCGTGGCCACCAAAAGGCTGGATTTCCCCTAAACAAAAAAGAGAGAAAGATAAGAGTAAAGAGCTATATAATTCACTGAGAGGGGGGCAAAAAGAAATTTTGGCTTTAGGTTTTATACTTAGGATTCCTTAATACCTCGCTTTATGAAGAAATTTTTTTTCTGAGTAATAAAGGAACTCAGTGGGGGAGGCTAGTTGCTTCTTTTGATGTAAGATAAGAAAGCAAGAGATGTGAAGGGCCCTAGGTGGCTTATTTTTACTTATTGAAGACAAAAAACAAAGCATCAGCCTCAGTGCAAAATTGGCCCCATTTTTCTATTCAGGGACACATGTCATCCTCTCATTCCTCAAAACATGTTATTCACAGTTTAACTTGCAGATTTGGTGACTATAATTACTTTGCTTAATGCTTTTTCATACTTGTCATAATAATAGGTTAATTATAAGCTATATAAAGTCATCATCAACACCTAAGTTCCACGTACCTTGCAAAATATATTTTGCCTTCATCATGTATGGCAGTGTTTTTGAAAAAATTATTACTAGACTCCAAATTAATTTCTTCTAACATAAGAAAACTAATCCTAATTATTATAGCACACAAGTCTTCCTTAGCATTGTTTTCTTCATTTTTACAAGAATTAAGAAGCATGGGCTTTTTTCTTCTTATATTATGTCAAGGATTTTGTTAGTTTGTCCCACTGACTTAACTTGCCAACTTGGACTAAAACCAGAACAAATATCATCTAAAAGCGCTTCAAATTTAGGACCAATTTAGAATAATTTATAAATAGTTTTTCAATTGTAATTGACAAAATACAAGGTAAGTATATAAAAAAAATTTTATCTCAACTTACGTGAAATACGTTTGTAAGTGTTTCTGGACACTACCTCAAACAAACCTTTAATCTTAGATCAAGAATTTGGAAGAGACTGGGTTGTTTTTTGCGAGATAATCAAATTTTTGACAGGACTTGTCCTATTGTTTGTCCCATTTAATCTTTGAATAAAATGGAAGTTTTTGAATAATTTATTTGGCGTGTCGTCATCAGATAAATGCTGCAGGATCCAAAAAGAACTTTTCTCATAAAGACAAGAAATTAGTATTAATTACTGAGCATCTATAAAAGCCTCTCTTGCCACGGGATAAAGGTTCAAAAGAAAACTAGAATCCAAAGTTAACATATCAGTTTTCTTCTTACAGCAACATTATGTCAAGTTTTGTAATCTACACAGCAA